CTGCTTCACAGGTGACAGAGCTGGGCTCGTCCTGGGTCACGCCCCCCAGTCTGCTCCCAGCCATGTCCGGGGCTGGAGCGAATCCAGGCTGCCATCCCCCGTCCCCAGGGCCAGTGTCCCTTCCTGTCCGAAGGCGGACGCTCAACCACTGAGCCCGGCCGCTGGGCTGTTCTTGTATCTTCCCTCGAGTGGACACGGGGCTGCGGTAACACAGCGCCTCCTACTGGGGCTTAGAGCCACCGACTTCACTTCTCCCTCCTGAGGCCAGAGTCCCAAGCCAGGTGCCCCGGGGCTGCTCCCTCCACAGGCTGCGGGGAGGGTCCTTCCTGCCTCCTCCGCTTCCCGAGGCTCTCGGGGTCCCTGTGGCCGTCACCCCCCCGTCTCCTCTGTCTTCACATGGCCTCGTCGCCTCTGTCTCTTACAAGGACTGGTGGCTGGGCTGAGAGCCACCTGAGCAGCCCACCTTCACCACGACCCAGGCCTAGTGGCCCCGATTTCACAGGCCACCATTCACCATCTGCCCCACCCGCCCTGAGTCCAGCTGTGAGGCTGGCTTGCACCCCCATCCCCCCCTCCCCCTGCAATCCTGGCCCTCACTGGCCTCAAGTCCCATCCCCAATGGCTCACCCTGGGGACTGTCATCCTGGCCCGGCTCCTCTCACTGTGTGGGCCCCCCATGCCCCCTCTCTTTTTATTCATTTATTTTATTTATTTATTTTTGTTTGTTTCTTATCTTTTAAGTGTATATATTGATTTCAGAGAGGAAAAAAGACAGAGAGAAACATCAATGATGAGAGAGCATCATGGATCGGCTGCCTCCTGCACTCCCTACATTGGGGATCGAGCCCACAACCTGGGCATGTGCCCCGACCGGGAATTGAACCGTGACCTGTTGGTTCATAGGTGGACGCTCAACCAGTGAGCCCGCCGGCCGGGCTGTTCTTGTATCTTTTGTGTGTGTGTGTGTGTGTGTGTGTGTGTGTGTTGGTTTTTTTTTTGTTCTTGTATCTTAACCCAGAGATGAGCCGGGGCCGGCCCCGGGCCTGCTTAGCAGGAGACCCTAGGCCAGTGACGGCGAACCTCTGAGCTCGGCGTGTAAGCATTTCGAAAAACCCTAACTTAACTCTGGTGCCGGGTCACATATAGACATTTTTTGATATTTGCAACCACAGTAAAACAAAGACTTATATTTTTGATATTTATTTTATATATTTAAATGCCACTTAACAAAGAAAAATCAACCAAAAAATGAGTTTGCGTGTCAGAGGTTCGCCATCACTGCCCCAGGACGTGCCTCATTCACTCGACAGACTTACCGAGGTCTGTCCTCCCGCAGAGCCTGGCTTTACGCCTTGTTCAGCCAACAGCTGTGCTATTCTTCCCCTCCTAACATTCTGACGTAACTGCAGGCCCGGGGAAAGGTCACGAGACGGCATGAGGTCCCGGCACCCTCCCCCCAGATGGCCCGCATGCCCTCGGGACGACGCACTTTCTCCTCTTTTCTCTCCACTTCCCGGTCTCCCTAGGCCCTCTGAGAGGGAGTTAGAACATAATGTTCTTTACTCCGAAACCATTCAGTGTTTTGAAAACCAGACATCCGCTTTCATAACCCCTGTCTGGCTGTCAAGGCCAGGGTGAACCCCCACACGTCCTCACACACCCCACTCGGATTCGCCAGTTTCCCATATGCCCGCCCTAGCCAGAGAACAGTCCAGACCACGTGTTACCAGCTGCGCTGTCTCCTTCGTCGTCGTCATCGTGTCCCCTGCGCCTGCAGTTACCGGCCTCCCTTGTCTTTAATGACACGGACATTTTGACCCTTATTTTGTCCAGTGTCCCACAAGCTGCTCTAAGGTTCTCTTTACCTTCTCACAACAGCATCCCCTGAGTTTCAAAGTGCATTTCAAAGTTCCATATTCTGCGGGTAACGTAGTCCTATAAGCAACAGTGGCCTCCTCCTCTCCCTCCCGCCCCTCCCTCTGTGTCCTCTGTCTTCCCTCCCCCCGCCCCCCGACCTCACGGAGCACACGTGTGTTTGTGCGGGTTTGTGCGGGGTGCCTGGGAGCACCGTGGGGCTTGTGTGAGGAGCTGAGTGTGTGGAGGGATCCATTCTGCCTGCACCATCACGCCGGCCTTGGGTGAGGGTGGCGGGGGTAGTTTTGGGGTTGGGCTTTGCAGGCAGCCCAAGAGCCCGTCTCCCCAGGCTGCCGTGACCCGCCGCGTCTGTCCCAGCCCCTGCTCCGAGCGCCTGCTGCTGGCCAGGCGAGGCTCCCTGGGAGGCAGGACGTTTGGTTTTGTTTGTTACCTGGGGCCTTCACGGCCGGGCACCCAGTAGGTGTGCAGGGACTGTCGTCGAGGGAGCGCAGTGGGTCTTCCTGGGCGGCGCCGTGGGAGCGCGGTGTGAAGGGAGGCCTCTGTCTCTCCAGGCTGGACAGCGTGCTTTTCCTCGATGAGGACGAGCGGGCCTTCTTCCGCAGGGAGGGCCGCTTCTCCAAGGACGACGCCCGGCGGCTGCTGAGCAAGATGTCGGGCGCGGACATCTGCACGGCGTACAGCTTGGGTAGGTGGGTGCGGCCCGACCAGGGGCCCGGGGCTGGGCCCAGGCCGCCGCCTCCCAGACCCGCTCCCGGGTCACCTCCCCCTGCACGTGGGCTTTTCCTGAGGCCGTGTAGAGGGAGAGGGCCGAGGCGTGTCCCCAGCGACGGAAGGAAACGGACGGGAGGCGGCCAGGACAGACTGGCCAGTCGCTGCACTGGTCACGAATGTCACTCACGGCTCTATCCCCCTGGATGGAGATAGACACGCGTGGGTGCATGCCTGCATGGATGCACAGATACACATGCACATGTTCACACACATGCCTGCACACGCATATGCATACACACCCACATGAAGACATGCACACGCACACACACATCTGCCTGCTGTGAACACGTGTTGCAAGACCTTTCCCACCAGCAGCCGGTGAGAACGCCGCCCACGCAGGCCTGCTCCTCTCTGAGCGGCGCTCACACCGGCCTGGGAGCAGCAAGGCCTCCGCCAGCCTGGCGAGCGGTCTCTCCTCTTTCCCAGGACCCCACACTGGGGCCCTGGTTCGGGGGAGGCATCGGGGTCAGCTCTCCCTGCCGGCCGCCGCGTGGTCTCCCAGGGGCTGTCACTTGGCAGGTCTCTGTTCAGCTCTGTGGCAGCCAGGGAGCTGCTAGTGTACCCACTTCACAGAGGGGGACACTGAGGCTTGCGGGTATGCTGCCCCTGGGGTGAGGGTAGTGCCCTGTTCCCTGGGAGAGCCGGCAGCCTCGAGGATGGAAGCCACAGCCCCTCGTGGGAGGCAGCCCTATAGGGGTGCCGTGGGGGCAGGCCCTGGGAGGCGTGGCTTCTCGGCCCCTCAACGGTGGGCCTGAGCCCCACTGCCCCTCGCCGGCGCTGGAGTTGGGAGTGTCACCATCCGGGGGTCACCACCTCTGCAGGACACGGCCGGGGTCAGAGGGCACTGGCCGGAGGCTGACCCTTCTCTCCTCCCCTTTCAGACAGACTCGGAGAAACTGAGGCTGAACCGTCAGAAGAGCCCTCTGCAGGACGGCCGGGGTCAGAGGGCACTGGCCGGAGGCTGACTCTTTTCTCCTCCCCTTTCAGACAGACTCGGAGAAACTGAGGCTGAACCGTCAGAAGAGCAAGGTGGGTTCCTCCACGCGGCACAGGCTCCTCCGGTCACGGCTGGGCCTCGGGCTGATGCGGGCAGAGGCTGCGGAGCTGGGTGCCCGTGGGTGCTGGGCACGGCCCTCACTCCTCCTTGGGGAGCGCTAAGGGTGGGGGACCTGCCCTGGAGGCTGGAGGAGGTGCCGGTGGAGCGGCCTCCACTGTGGCAATGGGTCCCAGCAGACATGCCAGCCTCCTGCCCTGCCCCCACCATGCCTGAGCCCATGCCCGGCCCCCCGCACTGTCCCCAGCTAAGGCGGGTCCCCTCCATGCCCGGCCCCCCGCACTGTCCCCAGCTAAGGCGGGTCCCCTCCATGCCCGGCCCTGGGTCCCTTCGCACCATCCCCAGCAGCTGACAGTCCCACGGGCGCTGCTTTAGGGTGAAGCGGGCGCTGATTTGGAGCCTTATGTTCAGAAGTAAGTCCCTCGGGGCCTGTTCCCTCCCGGAGGGGCCGGTCCAGGGAGAAGCCCTCCTCCCTCTCCCCTCCTCCCTCCTCTCTCCACCTCCACCTCCACCTCCTCCCAGCAGAGGGTCCGCACGGGCGAGGCCCAGACTTAACGCCAGGCCCCTTTGAGGGCCCCGAGAGCAGGCTCCATAGGAGCACAAACACGGGGGCCGCTTTGGGGTGTCGGTGGAAAGCCCCTCCCCCGGGGCTGTCCCAGGGTGCCCTCCGAGCCTCGGGGAGTGAGGACAGGAAGACGCTGTGGGCTCTCGGGTTCATACCCCACGAGCCCCGGGAGCACAGGCCGGGAGGGCCCTGTGGCCTCACCAACCGGGTGTTTTCTTAGCAAATCGAATGTCTAGTCGAGTCGGACGCCGGCCAGCGAGCCACACGCCCTGCACTGACGCCCGACCGCACGGCCAACAGACCCGCCAGCCCGGGGCCCTTCACACGCAGATGGAGACAGAGGCGTCTTTGCTGCTTCTCTCCTCCCAGCCTTTCCCAACTGTGTTTTCCCAACAGGAAACGGGCGTGTTTGCTCCGCGACTGGACTAGCTTTCGGGCCTGGCTCTTTCCACAGCCAACAGTCCCCAGTCCCCATGTTCTCCAGCCTCCGCCCTTTCTCTCCTTAACCCTCTAGAGACCGTGGCCTCCGCTTCTCAAACCCTTTAGGGCGAAGTGGAGCCTGGGGTGGGGCCACTCCCATTCTTTCTGGTTGGAAGTCGTCCCAGGAGAGAAAGCGGCCTTCCTCCCCCAGGGCCGGTTCTCTCAGTCCCGTGGCTCTCTCAATTCTGTGGCCGGTTCTCTCAGTTCCATGGCTGGCTCTCTCAGTCCCGTGGCTGGCTCAGTTCCGTAGCTGGCTCTCTCAGTCCCGTGGCTGGCTTTAGAGCTCAGGCTAATCCCTTCCTCTGATTGGCTCTTGATGATGTCACAGGATCGCTGCACCTGACTGGAGACACGTGGGCAGTTGCAGCACTGAATGGGTGTCCCACTGAGTGGCTTTGAAGGGAAAGGGGTCTCTGTGTGGTCACAGACCGAGGACACTAGTCTCCTCCCACTGCTTTCAAACAGGGAAGAATAAGAAAAGGCCAGACTGACCTGTGTTCTCCCTGTAACCATACGACTGTGCTCCCACTGTGCGCCGAGCTCCCACTGTGCGCCCCCGGGGGGTGGCCAAGTGGCTGCTGGGCATTTCCTGGGGAAGCAGTATCTGCCAAACACCGCCACAGGGACACTGCGCCTGGGGAGGGACATCCCTGCCCCATGCTGCCCCAGACTCTAATCCATCTGGTGTTTTGGCAATTTGCAGAAACGCCTCTGCCTGGCCTGCACCCAGAGCCACATGAGACCCTACAGAAGGTGAAGAAGGTTCTAGAACAATGTAAGTCCCACCACAGCTGCCCTGAGGAGCCAGTGTCCTGGGGTCTCCAATCAGCATCCAGTGGAGCAAGCTCACCGGACACCGAGGAGCCCTCCTTCTGCCTGGACGCGGAGGACGACTGGGCCGACCCCAAGGCCCTGGGCTCCCTGTTGCGGTTCCTGGACACTCCCGGGTACGAGCCTGCCTTCCGTGGCCTGTACGACGCCTCCCTGCCGGGGCTCGGCACCATGTTCTGTGGCTTCGCCGACGAGGAGGAGCTGGCCGGGCGCCTGGCCCAGGCCCGGGGGGTGGCCAAGAAGGCGGACCTCCCCATGGCCCTGGCCAGGCTCTGCTTCCTGCTGGGGCGGCTGTGCGTGCGGAGGCTCAAGCTGTCCCAGGCGCGCGTGTACTTCGAGGAGGCCCTGGGGGCCCTGGGCGGCCACTTCGGGGACCTCTTCCTGGTGGTGGCCCTGTATGCCAACCTGGCCACCGTCCACCTGCGGCAGAGCAACAGGGACAAGTGCGGGCAGGTGGTGCCCAAAGCCTGCGCCCTGCTCCTGGGGACGCCGGGCC